CCCCCTGACTTGGTTTTGGTACGAACCTCCAGGAAGACGTTGGTGATCATTGGGTTCAGGACGTCTCCTCTGTCGTTGGTCTGTGACACAGAGAGACCGGGGTCAGAGCGAGGTCACCACACCATCATTTCAGTCTGTGTGTGTGTGTGTGTGTGTGAAAACTCACCCCCGCTGAGGTGAGACAGGAAGTGAACTTCTTGGACAGCAGTGAGACTTGTTTACACAAAACCAGGGTCAACCTGAGGATTGACCAGGACAAAGACGCTCAGTGGCTGCTCCTGTGTGTGTGTGTGTGTGTGTGTGTGTGTGTGTGTGACTGACCGTGACAGGACGGCAGCGTCTGCTTCACAGCTGGACGACAGGATCTTCTCAGCCAGTTTGTGGAAAAGCTGGATGGATCGAGCCGTCAGTTCCGCCAGTGTCCTGATGGCGGCAGCGTGAATCTCCTGAAAAGGTTTGAGAAGATCAGAGCCGTCCAGGAGTTTCCAGGTGACTGAAATCTCAATAACAGCTGAAATAACGTTTCCAGTTAAAAATGTTTAAAAAAAAAAAAAAGTTTAAGGGAAGATAAAGTGAAAAAAGCTAAAATAAAAAAAAAAGATGTATTTACTGAGCTACAGTATTTCTTTATAAAGATTTTGTTTTTGGTAAAAGAAAAATCAAAAACAAAAACAAACCCTGCTGTAAACTGTGGTGTTGACGCAAAAATATCCCCAAAATATCAAAACCAACACAGTTCAAAAACTGTTCACCTCCACACTCTGCACCTCCTCCTCCTGCACCACCTCCTCCACCTCCTCCTGCTCCTCCTCCACCTCCTCCTCTCCTCTGTCGACGTGCTCCGAGGTCATGTGACTGATCTGAGCGCTGGCGTCTTTACAGGCCTGACGTTCAAACATGAAGCAGATTTGATCAGTGAAGAACCGTCTTGACTGTAGACCTGTATCTGTGTGTGTGTGTGTGTGTGTGAAGGTGTACGTGTGGGTGTGGCCTTCAGGGGACACTGGTCCATGTTCAGAGTGGACTCTCACTGTGATCAGGTGGTCAGCTGCCGCGGGGACACCCAGACCGTCCAGGACCCTGGTCAGCTCCTCTTCACACCCGGCGCCGTCTCCACCTGAAACATCACGTGACGTCAGCGCGTTAAGACCTGAGTCAGGACGTGAAGGTGTGTTTTCAGTCACGTCGACCTTTGTCCTCGTCCACTTCCTCCTCGTCAAATTCCACCAGCGAGAACGGTTCTTTGATGGTTTGCAGTTCACGTTTGAGCTGCTGCAGCTGGTCACCTGACAGAGTGGTCAGGACGGACTTCACCTGGACACACACACACACACACGCTGGAGCAGACAGGTCTTTCTGGGGTTCCTGGGTCGGGGGGGGGACATGGGGGTCGTGTTCAGGTCAGTACCTTGGACTCACTCTCCCGGGACAGAATCTCCAGGGCTTCGAGGTGGGACAAACCCTGGAACTCATCAAACAGCACGCCGTAGTGAGCGACCAGCTTCCTGTCTGAATCTGCCGACTCCGTCTCCTCCGTCTGCAGCTCCTCACGTTCCTTGGCCTCCCTCAACACCTGGGACACGGAGGACGGAGACAAAACACACACACCGTCCTCAGACACCAGAGGACAATGAAGAATATGTTGGTCAGCTGACGGTCACAAACCAGGCTACGGCGTGGACCAAACCTCACGGAGAAAATCAGAGATTTTAGTTCAGACCAAAGTCCATGGAGAAAATCAGAGATTTTAGTTCAGACCAAAGTCCATGGAGAAAATCAGAGATTTTAGTTCAGACCAAAGTCCATGGAGAAAATCAGAGATTTTAGTTCAGACCAAAGTCCATGGAGAAAATCAGAGATTTTAGTTCAGACCAAAGTCCATGGAGAAAATCAGAGATTTTAGTTCAGACCAAAGTCCATGGAGAAAATCAGAGATTTTAGTTCAGACCAAAGTCCATGGAGAAAATCAGAGATTTTAGTTCAGACCTGGGACAGAGTGGCGTTCCTGTTCATCAATCCTTTGGTTTTCCTAAAACCCGGGTCTCCTTCTGCGATCACGTCCATCGTCTTCTTGCCGATGAACTCCAGAGCGTCCAGTCCTCCACTGATCACCGTCTTCCCCTTAGTGAGAGACAGTGACCCAGTGTGAGTGTGTGTGTGTGTGTGTGTGTGTGTGTGTGTGTGTGTGTTGATGACGTCGTCTGCTCACTGTGCTCTGGACCACACTGCTCAGAGACGACAACATTCCCATGGCTCCACCCAGGGACGAGTCCGTGTCACTGGTGACATCACGTGTCGTAGACCCACCTGACACACACACACACACACAGTCAAACTCTTGCATGACCTCTGACCTCTTTGACACTGATGTTTTCTCACCTCGTTGTTTTTCCTCTTCTTCCATCTGAGCGGACAGTTCCGTGGGACTGGGAATTCCCAGGGTGCTCTCTGCTCTCTCCATCACCTGACCCAGACCTTGACCTGCACCAGAAACAAACTTCAGTCCGTGGTCACAGGATCTGTGTCGAACAGCTGAGAGCGACATGACGTGACGTGACGTGACGTGACGTGACGTGATGTGATGTGGACTCACCCACTGTGGCCACGGTCGCAGTTGCTGTGGACAATAAAGATTTACCCCAACTGCCCCAGTAGCCCCACCCACTCTGAGCCTCTGTGGACACCGTGGTCTGAGACTGGAGCAGAGAGAAGAAGACAGGGTGAAAAGATCTGAGAAGGTCTGAACTCAAGTTCAACTTTTAGTTCTTTTAGAAAAAACTTTCTCTCATTTCCTTTGGTACAAACTTTCAGGGCAGGGATTCAAACACACAACCAGTTTCAGTCTTGTCACTACCTTCGACCCCTCCTCCTCTCTCTTCGACCCCTCCTCCTTCTCTGGAGCCATAGTTTGGACCTCGGGCCTCCTCCTGGCTTTCCTGGTCGGAGCCACGTCCGTGGAGACGTCGGGTGAAGACGCGGCGTCGGCAGGTACGGCGTCCTCCTCTGGACGCTGGGACACTCGACTGTCAGACATTTTAACGTCTCATCCCTTTAAAAGAACAGACGTGTTTAAAACAGGGGGCGGAGTCAGGATCTGAACCGAGGTCTCACTGGAGCAGGGTTTGACCTGTGGACAGTCAGGACTAAAGTCAGGATCTGAACCTTTGTCCAACACTGGTCTGTGTTCAGTCTGACTCAGGTTCAAGAATCTGCAGTAAAACTTGGTCAATGGTTGAAATAAAGTCACAAAACAAATTCACCAACGGAACCAGGATTTAACCCGAAAAGAACAAAATTCAAACTTGACGAACCAAAAGCAGCAGAATAAAAACACATGTAGCTGCGACGCTAATATTTATGTTTTGATAAAAAAAACACCGCCTGTGTGGAAACAAAACACTTTGATCAAAACTCCTCGTCTTCAGACTGAAAAGCCTGTTTGATAAATATCAACTTCTGACACTTTAGCTTTGAACTTACCTTTACTCTCAGATGACGATGCTAACAGCTAAGAGCTAACAGCTGCTTCTATTCCGGTAGAAAAATAAGGACAAAAAACTCACTTTTCTTCTGCCCACGCTTTGATTTGTACGAACACAAACAACGTTAAGGTTTTATTACAAATTCAATATGAAGTACAGTTTTCCTCTCCGTTTGTCCGACATCATTAGCCACGTCACATCTTTTTGTCACTTTGACGGTTCGTGGAAAAACAGCTTCCTGTTAGAACCTTCAAAATAAAACAGCCTCTGAGACGAATATCAGAGACTTTACTTCTGGCATTACGTCATAAGTTGTTACGCCGGTTACCGAGGTCCAGAACTGACGTTCTCCTCAGGAGGCGTGACGTACAACTTTTATTTTTTACTTTTTTATCATCAAAAACAGAACACATTTTGACAAATTATTATGACGAAAGTCTTTCAAAGATTAAAGTTGTTTTAATCGTCGAAAAACACATTAACACAAGTGAAGAACGAGTTCTGTCATGATTTAGTAACCGATCGTCACGTCTTTTAGTTCCCACTGCTGTACAACAGGTGGCAGTGTTTTAGTCTGAGCAAAAGCACAAAACTGGGAGAGAACACGTCCTTTAACCACGCCCACTCACCTCCACCTGCTCTAAACCAGGAAGTGTCGGGGTTCATTTCCTCCGTGTGTCTTCATGTAAACATTAATGTGTGGTGTTTAAATGTCGGGGCCTCGTGGACTGTGTCGAGTTCGAGTTCTTTTCTCAACAACTGGTGAGACGTTTGTTTTTAAACCGCTGTTTGTCTGAATGTTGTGTTTACGGTCGTCCGGTCACATCAACATCGGTCGTTTATTAATGCGCTACAGTTTAAAGTAACATTTGATCAAAATGGCACAAAGATGTGAGGTCATCATCATCATCATGAATCGACTTTAAAATGTCTAAAAACATCAGTTCATTAAAACCTGCTTCACTCACAAACATTTACTTTTCCTGTTTTTCAGGTTTGTGAAAGTCAAAATGTTTTTAGAGCTGAGGAAACAGCGCCCCCTCACGACACCGCTGCTGCTGCTGCTGTTGCTGCCGCTGCTGCTTGCCCGGGCCCCCAGCGCCGCCCCCGCCGGGC